TCCACGATATATCCTTAAATGAAGAGCAAAAATTTTGGAATGGAGTACAAGATTAGCCTGAAATTATGTCAAAAAAATTAATATAAAAATTCTGATTGGTTTTGCTAGCTTGACAGGAGTAAGATGGTATTCTGGTAACCTGAAGTCATAGCGCCATTTTGGTTTATTGTTTTTTAGGATACATGTGTTACACAAATATAGTTTTCCTTACTTTTCCCTGCTATCCATAACACAACTCATTCAAGGTCAGCTATCAATTACGTTAAAAGGTAAGACCTCGTTGATTTTTTGCTTGCACAAGTTTACACTTCTGTGGCTTATCTTTCATAGAGGAGCGACATCCGATTAACGGCAAGTCAGATTTTAAACAGGGATTCAGAACACGAATAGAAATCCACTTTGAAAAAATAAGAGATTTCTCAAATAAAAAAAAATTGGTTGAGAAGACATTTAACAATGTCTTGTTATAGTTATTCTGATTTACAGGTATTGATGTTAGTTGTTCATGAAACAAACACTGAAAACATTCCATATTAGCGTCCAAGAAGTTTTATAATTTTTTGTCAACTACTCACAAACAACCATTCAAAGAATGGTCAACAATGCTTTCAAATGAGTTCCTTAGAGAAATACGTAGCTCCGCCACTGCAATTCGCAAAGTTTCATTTGTTTATGGAACATTGTCAAAAGAAACCAAAAGAACCAATTTGATACCTACCTGTTGTTAGTTGTTAGGCTCGTTTTTAACTGGTTTGAGCACACGGACACATGAAAATGTTCCGAGCAAATCCTTTCACTTGCAATGTTATTTTAAGATCGAACACCTTGAGATTTCGAGATTCACGAACTAACCAAAAAAGAATATCACTTGCCATAATAACCACAAGTCTTTCGGATTATTTATAGCAAATTATTTTGAGCTTCACGTTTTGTGAACTGAAATCACACGAATTCTAGAAATGGATTCCAGCAACTTTTCCGATTGTTAATTCAGGTAAATAAGGCAAACTTGATTTTGAATTAGGTAGCAAATTGCAATATACACAGCCAGAATGTTTAGATAGGAATGATGGTAGGCGGAGCGAGTGAAACAAGAGAGAATCGTGCGCCTGAGTCGGTCGACACGAGGATGGTAGTTAAGTTGCGCGAAAACAACAATGTACGCCACTTTGATAAAAATGACAAAATTAGTTTAACGCTTCTTTACTTCGATTCGACCGATTGGAAGTGGCAGAGTGCCTTTATTTTACCGAAGAATTTGACGACGTTAGCCGGTGTTTTTATTTTTACTAGCGCCGTGGAATGACTAATTCAATTCGCGAGACAAGGAAACATTAATGGTGGTTATGATACAAACGAATAGTGCAATGGACATTACCAAAACAGCGTTTCGCAAGTAGATAATAGGTGCATATGTAGATATACAATTTTCTTCTTACAATTTTGTTACTTTCAGTTATTCATTCCTTTACAAAAATGCCTGTTATTTATATAAACAAATGCAAATAAAATTGATTATTGATAGTTTCAAATTTGTTGAAAAGCTCATTTGAAAGATCTATCAATTCTGTATAGGAAAATAAATATTTCGAAATATTGACCTATCATAACTACCTACACAGTGGGCTCTGATAAACTTCTGTCGGATAACAACTCTACTTCCACCGCTGTAGGCAATTCAATATTTCCCGACAGGCGTTTACCAGAGTCTACTGTGTAGGTAGTTGGGAGAGAATAATATTTCGGAATATTCATTCTCTTTAACGTATATATCTCACCTCGATAGTTTTCATTTTCGATTTCATTCAAACTGTTAAACTGTCGTCTTGACGTTTCTCGCCATCCAGCGCCCTCTAACGACATCGCCGTCATGCAGATAAATGTCTCACGTCAATTCTGTGTACTCTGATGCATAGTTGCCGGCTGAAGGGTTTGTCAATATTTTCTGCGATTAAGTTCGTTTTGTATTAAAACAATGCAAAATTCGTCATATTTGTTGGTGGATCATGAATTGAACTTTGAATGACAAACTATAACATTGATATTCCTTCATCACGATGAAAATCTACCTCACTCTCAATATTTCACGATAGTCTTAAAAGGTTAGAATGGAGAAAGGTTGAAGGTTGTCTGACTGTCATTCTGGGACAAGTCCATAAAGTTAAAAGTTATTTGTGTATATTTCCGACGCATAGATCATATACAAGAAATAAACTCTTTGGTGAGATAATCATACCTATTATATAAAATATTTGAATGTGAAAGGTGCTAACAGAACTTGTAGCTTTCACATTGAGATGCAGTCTATAGGCAATCAAATATTAATTCAATGATTTTAAATTTTGTAGATAACTTGGTTTTGACTTGAAGAACATTCAACAGGGCCGAGATGGTTCGTGTTCTGTTTCTCATTTCTTGTAACGGCTGTTACTGTTTTCATATAGTACAATGTGGTGGCACGATATAATGATGTTCTAGGATTTTCTTCAATTTATGGTTTTTGTAGAGAAAATAATATTGCATTCAAAAATTGCAAAAACAAAACGGCTCTGTTCGTAGTGTTACAACTCATCTACATATGAATTGGTTACCAACACCCTGAAAACTTTTTAATGTTACTCCAAATGAATATTACTGGAGTTTTATCTTAACACCAAACCGTTATTTTTAACACCTCGACACATGTTTAGTTCTCTAAGTGATCATCTTCAAGAGGATGATTAAACGTCTTCCTCTTGAAGATGATCACTTGTTCTAAACAGTGCATCACATATTACTCCATAGTCTTGTTTCGGAAGGGTTTCAAATATTTTCTTTTATATTTACAAATTCCACCAAGATGTATTATTTTTATAAAAAAAAATGCTTAATCGAGCAGAATTTAGTTAAAATGAAAACGTTGGAGAAAGCTACTGTATAGTGAAAATCTCAAACTCAAGGAGTGTTTGACAATAATTCGTTCATTCCCTTTCTATAGATACCAGTTGTAGCAGTCTACAAATATGAGCAGTTCCAAGAAAGTAATTCACAGGCAAGGTCGAGAAATTATTTATTATGTTTATAGGTTTATGCAAACCGAGAAAGATAAGCTGTAACAATTCCTCCTAGCAATTTACAACAGAGATATATAATAATTATTTCTACTAAACCAATTTTCAACTCGGCCGGTGTGAACTTTGTCTGGACTACTGCAGTTCTATCAAACGAATAGTTGAGTCAATGTTTTCAGTTTTCACTTGATTAATTTTGAGCTTCTTTCCGTAGAAACCACTCGCAGATATTATCAAGGTCATAAACGGTAAGAAAATAAAGTATCTCTACAATTAAGACATAATGATATCTTTGTCTGTGACTTGGGACCATAGTTTCGTCATCATGACATCATATTCGGAGGCATTATGTCAAAATGACGAGATTATGTTTGCTAGGAAGTTTTGAGTTGTTAATAACAGAACTTCATGAGTATTTGCCGCGCATAAACAGGCAGGCAGGTGCTGTGTATTTTCATTTATTTGACAATAAATTCTTAAGGACATACTTTTATTCAAAAATCTTGACTTCCATAAGCCAGTTCACAAAACATCCCGGCCATGGAACACACACTCTCCAAAACTTGAGGTAGGTTCACAACAGCAGGAAGCAAGCCTACACAATTTTTAACAAACTGAGATTACCACGAGATAGTAATAATTTTCAGGCAATGTTGAGTCAATTGGAGTCAAAATTTTTGATAAGTTCATTTTCTACCAAAAGAGATACAGTGTTCGCTTGATATACACGTATTCAAACCATTGCAACTTCTGAAAGAACTGAAACGTTGAAAAATAAATTGGGCTCCCAGATTTTCCAACAACCGTGAAGATTTTACAAACATACTTCAAATGAAAATACAGTAGTTGGTAGATACTGATTGATGAAAAATCATTGAAAATGCCCTGAATTTGTTAACATTTTTATTGTGACAAAAACAATATTGTAGGTATAAACTGTATGATCTGTACCATCTTTTCAGTTCGGCCATGTATATCAGCTTTATCGATATATCGAGCAAAAACCCCTAGTTGAAACATCCGGTACATATATGGAATATTTCTAGGCCCATATCGCTTTTACTATTCTTTTGTCATTGAAACCCAGTTGTTTTTTCCATTTCATATGAATAATCCAAATTTTTGGATTAGTATAAAATTAGGCATCCAAATTGGCAACCATAGGTAACCAATTTTATGATTTACAAAGTCAAATGGAATATATTGAACATTCAATGAACTCCATTTTCTAAATAGTAACAACAATAATGAACGCCTCCTGCCATCTATCGTCGCAACTCCCAACAAAAACTTCAATGGTGTTTGCAGTAACCTTCTTAGAAATACATCGTTGCCGGATGTAATGAAAAATGTTAGTTGTCGAGAAACCGTCACTATGAATCAACGTAAAAGAAGGAACAGAAATGGAGTTTGGCATAATTTTCTCTTCGCTTTCGTTTATTTTGACAACTTAGATAACTGATTTATCGTCGATTGAATACAAGGCGTAGTAAGAAATATATTTCAGGGAAAATTCGGCTTAAGGTATTGGTTTCATGATCCAAACATTTTGGGGAGGGTTCATACCCCCTTGATTACGGTTCTGATTGGATATCCAATCATTTCTTCGATGAGAAACGTACGCAGTTGAGACGTTTGCTCTGAGACCTGAGAACTTTTGTGATTTTTCATTCCTCACTCAAGTGTTTGTTCATTAAAAGATAAACTGTTTTCCTCCCCAAGATCTGGATATACTCGGATTCCGTCAACAAATGTTGGGAAAACGAAATGAACATCACCAGAAGATGGCAAATGAGACTTTGCCGATATATATATATATATATATATGTGTGTGTACTTATATATGTCTGTGTAAACACATTTTATGACTTGTCCTATATCATGTGTATGATCTTAAAGGATGAATAAAGTTTATTATTAGATATTATTGATAGATTAATGACACACATAAACAATAAAAACATTTATTAAACTGGCTAGACTGTTCTGAAAAATATGTATAGAAAAACAACAATAAATATATAATTTGTAGATTTTTATGTATAATTCCACTATTTGAGCATTGTAGACCTAGAAACTGCGCTGCCGCCTAATATTCCACACTGGAATCACATTCCATTATAAGCTGGTCCGCCACCTCCTTCTGGAACTACCCAGTTGATATTCTGAGTAGGATCCTTAATGTCGCAGGTCTTGCAGTGTATGCAGTTCTGAGCATTTATCTGCAGTCTTTGGCCCTCGCCTTCCTCCAGGGGCACATACTCATACACTCCTGCGCAAAAAATTGAAAAAATGATTTTTTGCTCTGAGAAAATCGGAAGAGGCATAAAAGTTGGAAGTTTATTTTTTCAACAGACCTTGTGAATAATAAGAGATATTATTCATAATAAAACTTGTTATATGCTTTCTTGATAATGAAAAGTAATAAATGCTCATTAAAAATGCAAAACGCCCACAGAATGCTCAAAAAAATTTCGTGATTTCATTATGATTTGCCACAGATTGCTTAGGCGGGTTTATGATACTTCACAGGGTCCATCCGTATCCTAAAGGGAAGCAGACAAAATATTCCATGGGCGTTCGGGTTGTTTAACTACCAGCAGTGGCGTGCATTTGAGTATTTAATGGAAAATATTCGTTGAAACTAATAATAGTCACGCATGCGACATACTATCGATGCAAGTAGGGCAGGCTTGGCACTGTTTACTCATAGAAGGAGAGCGAGCATTAAGAATATATTTTGACTGCTTCAGTCCTAATCATAAAAAGTTGAGTTTGATCATCTTAATAATAAGCAAAGTTTTCTTCATTTATTTGCCAAGGATGATAAATATTCTAATAATGTATTTTAATGTTATTTTATGGTAAATAAATATTGTTATTATCATACGTACAACAAAGGCTTCAGTTCTATCATTCATAGTCATAACATTTCAATAACATATGTACTTTTTCAAACGAAAATATTTACCTGCCGGACAAAATCTCCCCTCCGGACCATCAAACATACTCAAGTTTGTCTTCACCGGAACAGAGTCGTCCAAAAGAGTGAGATGAGCGGGTTGATCGCCCTCATGATTGGTCCCTGTTAAGGCCACTGAAGTGAGTAAGTCAAAGCTAATTTTACCGTCTGGTTTCGGGTACTCTATGGGTTTGCATTCTTTGGCTGGTTTTAGTCGTTTATGATCAGGTTCTGAAATCCAATTGTGAAAAGTTAGTACTTGACTGGAAAATAACGAATAAACAGTTTCAACTCTCCGATTAGAAAAAAAATATTGAAAAGTATGTTTTTGGGTTTTATGACACTCACATGAAGATAGGAAAGGAAGTAATACACCTAATCGAATTAAATCACCGATGATCACGAAGATCACATGCCACATAACACAAAGATCACATGCACGCCAAACACGATACACACACAAGGTTACACAAACACACGCAACAACGCCACACAACAAACGTGCCACATAACAAACACAACACATGCACAGCCCACACGCATGCTACACACAACACAAAGGACACACGCACTCCATACAACACAGGCCACACGCACTCCACACAACACATGTCACACGCACTCCACACAACACATGCCACACGCATTCCACACAACACATGCCACACGCATTCCACACAACACATGCCACACGCACTCCACACAACACAGGCCACACACACAACACATGCACTCCACACAACACAGGCCACCCACACAACACACGCCACACAACACACGCCACACAACACACGCCACACAACACACGCCACACAACACAAATGCACACAATATATATGCCCCACACACACAGGCCACACAACACAACATACATGCCACGCAATCACTTGCAAATTACCCTTGATAGGAGACTGATGAATTTCCACATATCTCGGCTTGTTTCAAAGAGATTTTTGTTCCATACTGAAATGAGGGCAATGCATTATCTCATCTGAATTATGTGAAGGAGGAATAGTTCCAAGGACCAAAGTAGCACTACCACTTTGAATAGCAATACTCATTCTTTCTATCAAAAAAGAGGTAGAACCGTGATTTTTTGTTGCTTGTCATATTCTCCTTCCAAGTTCATGAACGAAAACGAATAACAGAGACCTCGGGCCATAAACACCAAAAGTTTCAACCGCTAATGGATGGAACAGATAGTTGTTACCACAAACACACGCCACACGCACACCACGCCACACAACAAACGTGCCATTAACAAACACAGGCCACATGCATGCTACACACAACACAAAGGCCACACGCACTCTGTTTTGTTATCGATGGGGTTAAGGCATTAATAACTAGTAACAACAATAACTATTAGTATTTATTTCAAGACTCTATCAGCTAGTTGCAACGACGGTCGAGCCCAGAGAGAGAGAGCGAGGTGCCAAGGTCTCTATTATGACAGCTCCCCTTCGCCGTGTCTCTGAACCCATCAAAGGTATCACATCATGAATGATAGAGCACACTCCACACAACACAGGCCACACAACACAGGCCACACACCAGAACGAACACGCCATACAACAGAATGAACACGCCACACACCAGAACGAACACGCCATACAACAGAACGAACACGCCACACAACAGAACGAACACGCCACACACCAGAACGAACACGCCACACACCAGAACGAACACGCCACACAACATACATGCCCCACACACACAGGCCGCACAACACAACATACATGCCACGCAACATACATGCCACAGAACATACACTCGACACACACGCGCCACTCAATACACACACGGACTATGCAACATACACGCCACACACATAGGCCATATAACATACACGCCACACAACACAGGCCACACGCACTCCACACACCAGAACGAACACGCCACACAACATACATGACCCACACACAAAGGCCGCACAACACAACATACATGCCACACACATACATGCCACGCAACATACATGCCACATAACATACACGCGACACACACACGCCACTCAATACACACACAGATCATGCAACATACACGCCACACACATAGACCATATAACATACACGCCACACAACACAGGCCACACGCACTCCACATAACACACGCCACACAACATACATGCCCCACACACAAAAGCCGCACAACACAACATACATGCCACACACCACAACATACATGCCACACACACATGCCACAGAACAAACACGCGACACACACACGCCACTCAATACACACACACAGATCATGCAACATACACGCCACACACATAGACCATATAACATACACGCCACACAACACAGGCCACACGCACTCCACACAACACAGGCCACACGCACTCCACACAACACACGCCACACACCAGAACGAACACACCACACAACATACATGTCCCACACACACAGGCCGCACAACATAACATACATGCCACACAAACATACATGCCACGCAACATACATGCCACACAAACATACATGCCACGCAACATACATGCCACAGAACATACACGCAACACACACACGCCACTCAATACACACACAGACCATGCAACATACACGCCACACACATAGGCCATATAACAAATAGGCCACATAACATACACGCCACACAACACATATGCCACACGATATTTCTTTATAGTGTACAGAGTACTCTTGTTATTATAAAGACAAAATCAAATAGGTCAAAGGATTGAAAACAGTGCAATAACTTTGATTTTTCTTTGCATTTACTACTCACCGCCATGTTTCAACGTCCATGGTTCCCTTCCTCCCAACACTACAGATAATCCACTATGCATCAGCCCACCGTAAAGTCCAAGCGGATTATGGAAACTTGGCCTGATGTTCCTGACACCTCTCAGTTCTTTCCATATCCAGCTACTCTTTATTTTATCCTCATAGGATTTCGGTTCGAACCCTTCGGTTTCTTGTTTTTCTCCAGTGATGGCTTCGTAACTGCTTTCGGCGGCAAGCATGCCACTCTTCATTGCATTGTGTGTGCCTTTTATTTTGGGAACATTCAAAAAACCTGAAATTCCATTGTTAGATGTAGAGTCATTTTCAATGGGTCAAAATATAGTCCTGAATTTGTTTTAGAAGTCAGAACAAGTTCACATAGCTGTATAAGCACTAAAGGTAGTTTTTAACGCCCTTTGAAGAAGAAACCTAAAACGCAATAAGAAAAATTGATTCATTTTTTGCAGCAAAGACAATGGCATCTTCCTTTGCAAAGACGCCCTCTATAGGACTGACAGAAGACTCAATCTTCAAAAACAGATACAGATACAGAAGTTTTCCTCATTTTTTGCAGCTAATAAGCTGTGTTTAAATATGAAAAATACTACCATTTTTACTTTCACTTTGAAGGACTGACAAAAATCCCACATTTTTAAGGTGTTATTCTGAAAAACAAATTGAGATTTGCAAAGAAAACGTTGCAAAGTGTATAAGTCTTACAAGTCGTATCTAGATTCTCAGGCTCCTAATGTTATGTGAAAGTATTATAAAACCTTATAGAAAAAAAAAAAAAAAAGGCGACATCTTTCACAAATCCAAGAAATTTCCCGTAAATATTTCATAGGGAAAACAAACTGAAAAATTCAACAGGAAAAGAGCTAAGGAAGAAAACAAACTCATGACTTGAGTTAAACAAAGAAATAAGTAAGTTTTGTTATTAATACTAAAAAACGGCGTTCTTTGTCAAATGTCCACGTTTCGCCGTCATCTCAGGTGGAATTTTCAAGACTGTTTATTACTCCTGCTTCGTGAAGTGCAACCAAGTTCACCAGTTACAATTTCAAACAGCTGTTTCCTATAAAAACAATAATTCAAAACTCTTCCTACCTGCAGTATCTCCTACTAAACATCCACCAGGGAAAGTCAACTTTGGAATGCTTTGGAACCCTCCTTCGACCAAGGCACGTGCCCCATAAGCTATCCTGTTTCCTCCTTCGAAATAACCTTTGACAGATGGGTGATGCTTGAACCTCTGGAATTCTTTGAAGGGGCTGAGATATGGGTTACTATAGTCGAGTCCTACCACGAAACCAACCGCTATAAGTGGTGTTGGTTCGTTGAGATGATATACAAAAGATCCTCCATAAGTATGGAAATCCAGAGGCCAACCAAAAGTATGTTCCACAAGACCTGGGTGGTGTTTTGCCGGATCCACTTCCCAAACTTCCTTCAAACCTTGAAAAAATTGAAATATATATTTATAACAAAGATTTCTAATTGGATTTCATGACAATATCATCACCATCTTCTTAAAAAAGATGGTAAACAAATAAAGAATGTAAACTTCCACGGCCAGAGATAACTGGATCAAGGTTTGTTGGTCACGGTCTGCCTGAAATTTCGACTACGACTGCGGTGGCAATCATCAGAGGTGATGAGACAACAGACAAAATGCTACATTATCAAAATGTTTCTTCAGTTTCATATCATCGGCTGTGGGCGTGGCTTCATTTCGACTGGTTGGATCGAATGACTTGATTTGTGTGCAATTTAGCACAGGTACCTAGATTTCATTTATGTTAATACCCTCTTGCTTTCGATTGAAGTTGTCTCTGTCTTATCGAATTTCTATTACCTCCCTATATTCTCCTGGATAGTAATTCTGAGTTTCAATTATTTGTGTTTCAACAAAAGAGAACGTGAGTACCTAGAAAAAAGCTCTTCTGTTTTCTACTTCCCAATCATTAAACAAAAAGTGTTGGAAACTTGCAGAAAAAGGAGGAAAAATTCCTTTTCCACAACTACTTTCAAATGAACAATGATTTATTTGAAAAGAAAATGTCCCTTCGAATCAACTATTGTCATATAATCATTGAATTACACGAAAACTACTTTCTCTCAATTAGTTTCTTCTACAAAGTCTCATTATGAAATTAAAAGAGATACCGTTCATAGGATCGCTACACATGTAGTGATGGTAGTTGGTTCAAGCCGATTTCGGAACCTCCCCCACCACCTTGAAACGACCTCTACATACGTAGCCAAGGTGACTTTGTGGAAGTGTTTTGCGTTTGACTTTGAACGACATTGACCTACGTCACACAAAGCGGGAAAGGTGACTTTCAGGAAGTGTTTTGAGTTTGACCTTGAACGACCTTGACCTTGTCACACGACGTGGGCAAGGTGACTTTGAGATGGTGTTTTGGGTTAGACCTTGAATGACCAAAAATATTAAGTTTTCAATTTAAGTGAGTGCCATCTTTGAGTACAAGTTCGGTTACAGCCGATTTGTTGGTTTACCTGAAGTAACATGGATACTTACACTTTTGTGATTCCAATGTAGACCAACCTGTAGCTATAAGAGATCCAGTATACCCCTGATGTTGCTAAAGGCTCCCTTGGGTACGATTCGCAATGGAACGGAAAACCCAAGGAACTATCACCTTTTCAGATGTACTAGTAAACAGGCGTGGTGTTGGTAATAAGTGGACTGTAGACTGTGTGATTTTCAGAGAAAGGTATAATGATCTTTGTACAATATTTCTGGATGAATACACCTAATAAACAAGTCGGTTTTGTTGTGACTGTCTTTCGTAGGACACAATACTAATTTCTTGTTTTAGCACTGGTGTATATGACTCTTTGAGTGTAGGGTTGCATGTTTTTTGTTAGCAGGTATAAAATGCCGTAGGCGTAAGGTCAATGAGTTTTTAGGCGTTAATAAATGAGTTATAAAGTGTATAGAAAATCAGTATACCCACACAGACAGGTATCTGAATAACAATTCCAACCACCAGCCACTACAAAAAAAAAAGGATATACAATACGTACATATTGCAACTTAAATAACAGCTTGTAAAATGGTGATACTAGAAATTTGAATGAATTTTTTGAAGGTTAGGTGGGAGAGCAATTATTGTAAGGTCTCTATATTAATTAGAAAACATTCAATACCTACCTATACCATACGTTTGTGGTTCACAGTTACTCCTCAATTTGAACCTATTGATGATCTGTTTCGCTAAATGCCCATGACACCCTTCGGCAAATATTGTACACTTAGCATGCAACTCCATGCCGCGTTCAAAATTATCTTTAGGGCTTCCATCTTTCGCAATGCCAACATCGTTGGTTGCTATACCTTTCACACTACCATCAGGATGGTACAAAACCTCAGAAGCTGCATAACCAGGGTATATTTCCACGCCGAGAGCCTCTGCCTGTTCCCCTAGCCACTTCACAACGTGACCTAGACGGACTATGTAGTTGCCGTGATTATCCATTGGAAGACCTACAAGTATTCAAAACTGACGTTCCTATCTCGAAATGACATCTGAACTATCTTGTATTCCAATAATGCACTTTCTTTGAATTTTTCCAAGAATGTAACAAGCCTTTGGACAAGAAAGTTTCAACCTGTTTATAGACTGGTTACGTTCCCCTCGAGTAAAGGAAGGTATGATATTGAGAAAGAAAACTTTTACAGTCCAAACAGGCACTAGGCCCAATTACAGAACACAGTATATGATTTTGAGGTGAAAGTGTTAAATATTGGAAATATACAGGGTGTTTCGTACCGTATATGATGAAATTAGCCGATACTTGATGAAAATCCATTACTAACGTATTAAAAAAAAATATTGTGAAATTTTCACTAAACATTTTTACAAAAACGCAACACGTGTTTCGGCATAAAGTGGTTTCTTCGGGCGCGTAAATTTAGAGAGAATCTCCATAAATCTTTGACTTTTCAGAAAGACAGACTTGAAGTTTATTCTCTTTCTGTTCAAAGCAATATACTCCAATGAATTAAATCATATTTTTAAAAAGTTGAGCTTGAAAGTAGCCTCCAAAACTTTTGGCCCACTTCAATGAACGTTAGGCAACCCTAAAAACAAGATGTTGGAATATAAAAAGTCGGGAAATGGTTAGGCCTGTGACAAAAACTATATTGGCCAGAATAAGCGACCTATTGAAACTCATTTCAAAGAACATGCAGCACATATCCGATTTTGAAGAATAGAACAATATAGTATCGCTCAACAGAACTTGGAGATCGGCCATAGAATAATGAAAAACTGTTTGAGATTGTTGGGACTGAAATAATAAAGCATGAGTTGGCTTGAATATTAAAATAGACAAAATGAATGATGAAATTATTCTAGACCAAGGGAAATATGCTATTCGGATTCTGAAAAATTAATATAATGGAACGAAAAGCGGTCGCTACACCTATAGAGGCTATTGAAGATTTAAAATAAATAGCGTGTGTGACAATAAGTTCCCACTATTTATTGAAAGTTGTTTGTTGCCTGAAAATCTCAACAAGTACAATATTTTACCTCTGAACACTGGAAAATTTATTCTCCCCGTAGCTGTCAAAAAACTGAATTTATCTTTTGTTACAGGAGTATTGAGGGGAGCTCCTTTCTCTTTCCAATCGGGAATCAATTCGTCCAAGGCATTATGCTGAATCACAGCTCCAGAGAGTATGTGCCCACCAACTTCAGACGCTTTTTCCACTAAACAGACTCTGAGTTCTTTTCCATCTTTATCAGCTAACTGTTTGGCCCTGATAGCAGCACTCATACCTGCTGGGCCACCTCCAACTATCAGTATGTCTGTTTCGTCTGCGAACCTTTCCATATTTACCTCTAACAAAGAAAATCAATATGTGAATAATTATAACTATTGGACTATTAGAAAGCTCTAGCATGCTCATTACAGAAAAAAAGACGATCCAAGGCGAGGGGGGATGGAATGAAGGGAATTTTACGAGGTATTTTCAAAAAATAACGTGAATTTAAATTTGTCTTAAAAAATATTTATTTATTCATCAATTTTTTGGCCAAAACACCGAAATCATGCCTCAGCCACCTTATCGACCAGATTTGAGGCCCTGCGACTTTTTTCTGTTCCCAAGATTGAAGAGACCTATGAAAGGATGGTGTTTTGTGACAATTGAGGAGTTAGTAAATGATTCGCTGATAGAGCTCAAAACATACCAAAAAGTGCATACCAGACTGCTTCTAAGATTGGAGAAAACGCCAGGGAATTAGTTTGAAGGGGACAAGATCGAAATTGATGGATAAATATTTTTTGAAAAACATGAAAATTCACCTCATTTTCAGAATAGACCTATTACTTATGATTTCATTAGAAAACTGATTTTTGTCGAAGAAAGAAAATTCGTATTCTTCTCTATAAAATTCAAGGTTATGTGGACAATTGGTTCATACAAAAGTTGTAGATTTTACAGACAACTTTCACATTCAACTTTTTTCAATAGAAGGTTTAGTTTCAGTTGAAATCATGAAAAAAACCATTATCCACCCCAAAAATTCACCCCATTTCATCCCCCTTTACTTGAATCAACTTTGATTCACTTTTTTCTATCACTATATTTTCAACCATTTTCAACAATTTTCAACAATTTTAGACAATTTTTATTTTTTTTGCCTTATTATAGCTTTCTGCACTGGTCTTATTTTCATGAAGAATCATCTCACCTTTCCATCTTGGATCTGTTTCTCTTGGATGAATGGTATAATGGGTTGTTATTTTTGGAAATTGATCGGAATACGACCGAGTCGCCCTTTGAACTTGTTTAGCTGAAAAAATCAGAGTATTAAATATTTGAAATGGGTACAAAGGTCAATTAAATCTGTTCCCAATTGATGATAAAAACCTATCAAATTCAAAACAAAATTTTTCAGCAGCCTGAAACTCACCTAATTTTGAAGTAATTTTGTAATTGATTCCCATTTTGTTGGGGTCTCACAGCTGTCTTAGCCACTAGATATTATTCCTGACATGAAATACCCTCCACAGAACTTGAAATATTTTTATTTTAAATTCAGCCGAATCAACTTCACTTCTCCGTTCAAATGCCAATTTGAAATACTTATCATTGACCTTTGAATAAGGCGAATTATTCAGACTTTGATGAATTTATCAAAAAATAAAAATCAAAGAGCAAGTTGAAATAAAAACATAAACAAGCAAAACAGATGAGCTAATTTTAGGGAATACGTTTCACACTTTATGTTTTCCATTACTGAAACCAGTGCATATGTAGAGTACTTCTATCCTTTATTAACGTATTAAGAAATAGAGAAAACAACAATACACTGATAGGGCACCGACTTTATCAATGAGAAACGTTATTAGTAATTACATACACAATAAATACCCAATACTTCAACCATAGTATAAAGATAATTAGATCTCTTTACTAACTTTATTACTCTTCGACTTCAAATTTAATATCTTCACATTGCAGCATCGCACCAGCCAAGTCCGATAAAAGTGATAAAAATGAGTTACATGTGTGTCTAGATGTAGCTACGTACCTTGTCAAATAGATTGTAGACAATGCGATTTCGAAGTAATCTATTTACAAGATATTTTCGTTAAAAATTTATATTTATATATAGTATTTTAATCTCACATTGATTTAAAACTCATCCTCCGTGTAGCAGAAACGTGAACATTCAATGTTCTTAGTTCTTATTGCAAAATTACGACAAAAGTAGTGTTAGTCAAGCTTAGTGAGTTAATAAAACGGACTTTTAAAAACAGTCGAAATCTGATTAATCGTCAGAGAAAGATGAAAAACTCAGAGTGACTATAATCGAAGTATTTCACTGTCGATGAAAATATCTTTACTATTTTTACTCCAGGATTTTATTATGAACATTCAATAAATCAACTGAATGGGTGTTCCTAGAGGTATGATGAACCGAGACGTTATTTTGAGTATAGTTTTATGTTCTCTAAGGATAGGTACATTCACATTTTGATGTAAAAAGTGACCACAGTTTCTTATTATAAGTGTATTTTCCATTTATTATATTTTTTAAATTCATTATAGAATTGACTGAGTCCATTGGACCTTGAGTCGTTTTTTAGTATTGGAGGTTTCAAAAATAAATAAGTTTTTACTTGGTTTAAGCTAGGTTCAATAGGTTTTTATATGTTTCTCGACAATTGTTCAAATAAACCTGTTTCAAACTAGCATTATTTTCATTACCCAAATGAAGCACAAGTTGATAACCGGACATGTTCAGTATTAGAAAGTACCTGAGTCAATGAAATTTTTATAGGTATTCATTTTAGATCTCCAGAAAACGTCGGAATCTTGATAAAAAGTCGAGATTTCGAAAAAAGAGTTCAGAATTCTGGAAAAATCAAGAGATGATTGAAAATAGAGTTGCCAATTTTGAGATTTAGTTAAATCTTAAAGTACGTCTTCGAATATGCATTACGAAATTATGTTTCACATGAAAATTCGGTATTATGGGATCCTGAACCAACAGTAATAATCAAATCTTCAATAAATCAAGCAGTTCATTAGCCTCTCCATTTTCTGTGAACACCGAACACATCGACTTCAGAAACGGAACATATCATATATCATGATTTTCATACTATCAATAAACTCTATTTTATCTGTCACCTGTCATTTTCCGGGTAAAATGCAGATGAAAAATTTTATTTTTTCCTATTATTTTTAATTCGGACTTTGAATAATTAAGTAAATATGTTTTAGTATTATAAGTAGGAAATTGTAATAAGAGGTAGTTATATCAGGTTCGCAGAAAGTATTAAATTCTCATGATCTGAAGGTTATGTTCATGAATAAACGTGATTCCTTTTTTGAATAAATACTTTTCAAAATGTACCGGATACACTGTGTAATGCGTAAATATGCCTTCACTAATGGGGTAAGTCAAGTAAAAATAGTTGATTCAGTTTTAAAGTTGTGATTTTCAGTTACGACTCTATTCTCGAGAGCCTCAGAAGCGCAGTTCTTTTTTATCGAGATTGTACGATAACTTTAGAGAAGAAATGGCAAAAAACAAAGAAATGAAAGAGTCTTTGAAAAAGTTTCGGGAAGAAGCAGAAAAATTAGAACAAAGTGATGCTCTAAAGGCTGCTCGACAAAAATTTGAAACTGTAGAGAAAGAGGCCAGCAAGGGCAGTGAAGTCTTCAAAGATAGTTTGGGAACCATTAAAGACAGGGTTAAGGGTGTTATAGATGAAGCCAGTAAATCAGATATAGCGAAAAAAGCTGGCAAATTCACTGAAGAAGTAGGAAAACAGACTCATAGAATAAGTGAAAAGGCCCAAGAAATAAGTAAAACTGGTGCTTTTCAAAGTATTTCTCAGGCTACACAAGCTGTTAAAAAGGAAATTGACACCACAAGCATGGAAGGTAAACCAATTTAGAGGTAACATCTATGACAGTTTTTCATCATCCTGGCTCATGAAAAATTCAATTAGTTTTCTAGCAATCTACCTAGTTCTGGCTGTTAATCTCAAATTCAAAGTCAACATGTGATACTTCGGCAGTTGGCTCACGCTGAAGTTTATTTTTTTTGTTAGGTACTTTTTGTTTGCTAATCACTAATATGAACATGTGTCAATTTTTGATATGGTCATTCACAAGTCATACTGTTTTTCTTTCAGCTACTCAAGTTTGGTAAACGCTCTCAAACTTATACCTTTTTTTCACATCGTATGTGTGGATTTTTATTTGCTCAGTAAATCCATTATCGTTTTCAAAACTGCATTTTATCAAACGCATCCTTATAAACCAACCTTCAATAAAAATAACAATTCAACAAAATACTTCCAGCTGTTGACGAGCCCAATAGTAGTTTGTATGTCCCTCAATGCAAGCAAGTTTCATTTCAAAACATTATTGCGCAAATGATAACCTATTTGAACAGAGTTGATTGCCTCACTGACCTAGGAGTGGTTTTCTTCAGTTTCATATTGATAAACTAGTCTTCAGGTTTGAGCCAACTAGAACTCATTATACGCAATTCTGCAGAACTGAATCAATTATCAACCCACTTACTTAATTTTCTCTAATCAAATCCCTTCTGATAAAACATAGTTAGATTTAAATACTGTCTGCAACTCATCAGAAAATGAGCACAGAAATGTAGATCAAAGTTTTTACAGTCCAATTTGAGGGTTCTCATATTAATCTTGACTTTCATTTTATAGTAAGTCCATTGTTCTCTTGGGACATGTGGGGAAACACAATTCGGAAGAGATTTGATTAGAGGAATATACAATAAGCTGGTTGATAAGAGACAGTTCTGTAGAATTACGTAAGATGAATCCTAATAATAATAATAATTGTTATTAGTTTCAAGAAACACAGTTTTTAAACACGTGAATACAATTTCTAAAATAGGTTTGAGAGGGTAAGATTTGTCAATATAGTTTTAAAAAAAATGCTTGTAGATAAATTAGATTTACAAAAAAAATACAAGTTAACAAGATCAAATTCCAATGTTATAAAAATTGACTTAAATGTAAAGCCACGAGCTTTACAAATTATAAATCACATTGCTAACGTATTATATATATTCAAAGTTGAGTTAAAGTTCGGGAGGTGACCACAAAAGTGTCCATTTCTTCTTGAATAACTTCGAAAAATTGATCAATTTCGTATAAAGGATGTTTGGTTAATATTTTCTTCAATAAGTGTTTGAATCTTCTAAATAGCAAGTTGCGAAATTCGTCAGATAAGGCATTGTATAGCTTAATTCCTATATTATCTGTTCTTTTCAACCTATTAGCTGTAGGAACAAGGTTTCTTGTATCATGTAGGTGTATATTCTTGTGAGCAACTTTATTCATCAAGTTTTGTTGAACAAGAAGCAAATTTTCATAGACAATATCTGAATATAGGGTCATTATTTTAAGTTTTACAAATATTGGTCGACACTTTTCATCATAATTGGCAGATTTGCAGATTTTTGAATGACAAATATTCTATTAAGATGTACCTTTGATACATTATTTCAATTGATTATACCATACCTAAGGACTGAATGAAAAAGTGAATGATATGTTGCAAGTGCCGCACTTTGATTTACTATTTTTTTAAGCAGATTTTCATAGACAATAACTGAATATAGGGTCATTATTTTAAGTTTTACAAATATTGGTCGACACTTTTCATGATAATTGGCAGAGATTATGCTTCTTACTGCAGATATTTGAATGACAAATATTCTATTAAGATGTACCTTTGATGCATTATTCCAATTGATTATACCACACCTTAGGACTGAATGAAAAAGAGAATGATATGTCTTACTAAGTTTTTGTTCATTGAGAATCAAGTCATTTGGTGTGAACCATGATCGAGCTTTCTCTAATATGTCGATATGGATCATATGAGGATCATCTATTTTTTTGTCCAAGGTAGCATCATCTGCATACAATACAGTTTCTATGCCTGACGAGTTCATCACGTGAGGTAGGTCATTGATATAATATTAGAAACAGAAGTGCCCCCAGTATTGATCCTTGTGGCACTCCTCTTAATGTTTTTTTTTCACTTTTGGTATTTCCTAGATCAACAATTTGATATCTTTCATAAAGGTATGACTTCATCATGTCCAGGTAGACACCTCTCACTCCGTAGAAATCTAATTTGGCCAATAAAATCGAATGATTTACCTAGTCGAATGCTGAAGTAAGATCTGTAAAAACGCTCACATATTTTCTTGGTTATCAAAGGTGTCTTTTACACTATTTGTGAGAAAGTTTATTGCATCAGAAGTCGATTTTCCTTTCCTTTTTTGGTTCAGATGTAACAGCATTTTTATGAATTGGCAGGATTCTACTAATTTTTAATTGCTGAGGGAAGTAACCTTCACTTAGACATGTATTGATAATATCTGTTAAGGGTTGAGATATACATTCAATGGCACTTTTTATGACTAAAACATTCACACCGTTAATATCTTCTGTTTTTTTATTTTTCAACTTGGTTATGATTATTCTCACCTCATTTGTCGTTACAGGCCTAAAGAACATCCACTTATTTGTGTTCATTTTTTTTATCCATAAAAGCAATAGAGTCAACATCAGATTTGGGGTAGGGCTGTTTAAACCTCTAGAGAAAACCACTCCTAGGTCTGTTAGACTATCAACTCTCCTTAAATAGGTTATTGTTTACATGAAACTTGCTTGCAATGAGCAATATTCCATTTTAAGCAGACCACAATAACAAGGTGTCAATATCAGACTGCAGCTTGTGCCAATCTCTTAGGTACATCTTGTGGTCGTTGTCACATAATAGTTGTTTAATGTATTTTAAAAATTTGGAGAGATCTGTTGAAAAAAATTTAATAGATATGGCCCAACATGGGATCCGTGTGGAACCCCTAACAGCACATATATCTGGTCTGACCAATAATTTTGAATTTTTACACGCTGCATTCTACCTACCTACCTAACAAAAGCCTTAACCAAAATGGTTGAGGCTGCGAAAGCCTTAACAGCAGCTGAGGTTTTCAGTGTCACTATGTTTTGGGTTCGAAGGCTGTAGATTTTCGAAATTTCACATAAAACACATAAAACCCATGTCTATTTACCATTAAATAGATATTAAACATATATAAAAGCAGAACTTTGTAAGATTCTAGGCGAGTGAATTTGCTTTTTTCTGAAGAGCCTCACCAGCAAACAAAAGTACCTGATATAGAAGAAAAACAAAAAGAATTTTACGTGATTTTAGATAACGAAAAATTGTCCATTTTGGAATGGATGAGTAAATGAATTTTTTTATAGGTAGAGTTTACCAGAGTCCCACAAAATTACGAAAGCGAACCGAAACTGGTGCAGTAGTGCACCAAAAATATTATGAGCCAAACGTAGATGCTACTGGAGTTGAACTTCACAAGGATTCAAAGTTCTACGAGTCGTGGCAAAACTTCAAAGATAACAACCCCTATGTCCACAAAGTGATGGACTGGAAATTGAAGTTCGATGAAAGTGAGAATCCTGTCATTCGTGCATCAAGAGCTCTCACTGAAAAAGTGGGTGATATCATGGGTGGTCTGTTCCAGAAAACAGAACTTTCAGAAACTCTCACGGAAATCTGTAAGATTGATACGACTTTCGAAACGAAACGCTTTTTAAAACAGTGCGAGACCGACATTATTCCTAATGTACTTGAAGCAATGACGCGAGGCGATTTAGAAATTCTCAAAGACTGGTGTCATGAAGGCCCCTTCAACCTGTTCGCTGTTCCCATCAAAGAGGCTTACAAGAAGGGTTATACAATCGAATCTAAAATTTTGGATGTGGACAACGTCGATCTAGTTATGGGTAAAGTAATGGAACAAGGTCCAGTATTGATAATTTCTTTTACTTCTCAGCAAGTGATGGCTGTACGTGATGCTACCGGCGCCGTCGTAGAAGGAGATCCAAATAAAATAATGCGGGTTAATTACGTGTGGGTTCTGTGTAGGGACCCCTCAGAACCTGACCCTAGAGCTGCGTGGAGGTTACTTGATATATCAGCAAGCAGTAACGAACAACTAGTGTAAATCTGAAGGGAAAAAGAGAAAGGTATATAAATGCGAAGAGATGGGGTTTGTTCACCTTGTTGTTACTAGTTTCGAAGGTTGAACAATACTTAACAGGTCTAGCAATGTATTGATGTCTCTGGAGATGAACGCGAACCAACTTTTCTACCTGCAGTAATGAATGCAGAAAGTTAAATTGTTGTAGGTGATCAGTGCTGAAATGAGGTCATTTGACCTTCATTAAGTCCTAATACATACCAGACCTCAACTTCATTGACATAGAAAATGCAAACATTGAATGAACACTATTAAAAATTATTCAAACTAATATGACGGTCTTCATGTTTTGTTATGGTACAAAATTGGGATCTGTATTGATTTATGTAAGATTCTGATTTCGCTCAGATTGTACAATTTTTTTTTGTATAGAATATATTAGTAATTTATATACTTTTTCAATAAATTGTTGATGTTTTTACGTTGTTGTTTGAATAATAATTTCACCCTTCTCATTTATTACAAGGCGATTCCTAAGCAGCGTTTACTGCTTAGGCTGGTCCCACATTGGAAGCGGAATTTCTCCCGACCAGAGGGTCTGAAGAAAACGTACACATGACGCACCGTCTTCCCTACTACACTGGAGCCAGGGCTTGTTCCGGGGAGAGAAGTCGGGTCTGAACTGGTCTGACAACAATGAAACGAGTTTGCTTTTTCTTCCACTTGCTTTGGTCGAGGTGGTGGGTTTTAACATCATCTATTGAACTTGTTGCTTGTACGTCATCCGACGGCTGACATACACAAATGATTGAAACATTCACTACACAAATAGTTATTGTTTGCTTGCACGTACTATGGCGGCGTGAGCTTCCGTTCCTTCGGCGATGAGAACAGCCACTAGACGTCCACCTACCTCGATGAGGAACCGGAAACTCCTCAACTTTGAAGCTGTAAAGTTTTTGGAAATTATGCTTTCCCTTGGTTCTTTGGGGAAGAGCCAACAGTTTTCTGTAGAGGAATCAAAGGCAGATCCACAATTGATAGTGATATAATATCGTCTGCAAATAGCTTAATCGAACCTTTTAACTTCAACAATTAAATGCAGATAGATATAAACCAAAAATATTGAAGGTCCCAGAACTGATCCCTGTGTAACTCCATGTGTTGAACTTCTACACTGACTGATATTATTTCTCATATTCAAACTGCTTACGGTTTTGAAAATCCAAAACTTTCAAAACAACGGTGAATTTCACCCCTAATTTCGACAGTATCTTAATTTTTCCAGTAAAATTGAATGGTCAACAGCGTCAAAAGATATCTGGTTGGAATAATTTGCTAATGTATTATTACCATACAGTGTTAGTACACTGGTTAGTACCAGTGTACTAATGTTCAGGCAATCTTTGAATATTATAAAAACAGTTTCGTTTCTGACATGGTGGTGGGCGGACGTGCCGATAGCGACCATTGTTGGAGGTGGACCTCATGTTGTGTATGTCCGCCGTTTTCTAACGTGCATGCAAAAGTTAAGAGTGATTATAAACATTGTTTTAGTGTATTTGAATAAATAGTACTCCCATTCACGCCGGTTAGAGGCCGGAGTGGATCGGATGTCCACGTGGGAGTAGGATTGCAGTTAATAATCTTTTATGAAAAAGACGACCAGTAAACGCCAAATCTAATTAAGAAAACAGAAGTCTTGAATTACAGCATGATTCACAATCAGATCAAGATGTAACCTCCGAATCGAGCTGGCTAAATGCGCCTATCTGGAAGCAAAGGCCAAGAAGTTTGAGTGAAGTGAAGTGAATATTATAAAAAGTAAGTACAAGAGCCATCAAAGTAGCAAGATTTGTCAGGATCAAACGCTTCTACGCCTTTACACATTATATTCCTGTTAATGAGAGGTAATAAGCTAAATATTTGTATATACCTTTATTATAACGTTCTAAAAGCTGTCTCAAAAGTCTCATATAATCTTGTGTCTGTACCGGAAGTTATACGAGGTCAAAGGTAAACAAAACCGTTTTTCGCGGTTATCTATTATGAAAATTGTATAGCATAAAATTTAGGATAAATTTTATTTGAACCTTGTTTTCATGCGTTCAATCGTTTTTGAGATAGAAAGCGGTAAACGCGCAGTGCTCTGCCGTGCGTACTGTAATCCAAGGTCAACCGTGAATATTACCTTCAATTTTGAATAATTTGTCAGTTGATATATCTAATATATAAAAATGGATGTTTGATGGTTGGTAAGTGATAAACTTCTACATCGCTCATCCGATCGTGATGAAACTTGACATCTATTAGTAATTTTTCATAGAGAAAGTTTTTGGGCTATCAATTTTTCTGTAACTCGCCACTAGATGGCGCTGTAGAATGGTTTTTGAAAGCACTGTTCTATAACGTTGCGCACGCCTAAGTTCGTGATTCTGTCAAAACATTGGAATAGCAGCGATACAGCAACACAGTACTAGTATATTATATTTTACAATTCACATATATTAATATAATGATACTTACTTTGTGTAATTAAAAACTCATTATGAAATAATTATTGTTCATTTCAATGTATTGAAAATACATTTGAATGTAAAAAAGAAAAGTATTAGTTTTCTTCTTCTTCATCTTCTCGACGTTCAGGAATTTCTGTTTCATCGTCATATTCGTTGTCCTGAATCGTTGTTTCCAGACCTTCCAGAATTTCAGGATCAAATGCACTCGCTTCCTCACTGTCACTTTGCAATGATACAGCATTGAGGCAAGCTTGCCCATTACACTGACCACAAGCTAAAGAGCATTGCACCCCCATTTTCTACATCCGCACCGTGGACCACATCCATTTTTACAATTACAAAATAAAGTATTAAATGTTTTTAATTATAATATATTAACTGATAAATGATATAAATTATTCAAAATCGAAGGTAATATTCACAGATATTGACGGTTAACCTTGGATTGCAGTGCGCACGGCAAAGCGCTGCGCGTTTACCGCCCTCTATCTCAAAAACGATTGAGCGCATAGAAAAAAGGTTCGAATAAAATTTATCCTAAATTTAAATTTATCCTAAATTTTATGCTTTACAATTTTTATAATGGATGTTAACATCATTGGAGCAATAGAAACTGAGATAACCGCGAAAAACTATTTTGTTTTACCTTTGACCTCGTATAACTTCCGGTACAGACACAAGATTATATGAGACTTTTGAGTCAGCTTTTAGAACGTCATAATAAAGGTAAATACAAATAGTTAGCTTATTACCTCCCATTCCCAGGTTAACCCCCTTTTTATGCTAAAGTGACTGGTCTATTAACGAAACACTAATTCGGGGAAAGATTATCTTGGTTCAAGGAAATAACATACTTTTGAAACTTCATAATATATCAAATTTATTCTTATCACTACATTTTTGAAGAACCACTCCACCGTTCATACATAGAGCTTTCAAAACAGAAGTCTTCAAAGTTTCATGTTGATAATATAATAATAATCTTTATTGATCCCAAGAAACAAATGTTTATAACAGGGATAAAATTTGAAATAGTAATGAAATATCCATTTCAAACAGCACTGTTAGTGTATATATATA